AATTGTAAATCATGGAGACTGCACATGTGTGCGCAGTCCAAGTGCTGCCTACAGTTTTCAGGGCTGTGACATGTTGGAAGCAGATCTCCAGACTTATTTTCTGATGGGTTCTTCAGAGCAAACAATTACTTAACCTGACCCTTCTACCCACAGTTTGTGTGACTCCCACAGAACAGTTGGGTGAGGTTATGCAAATAAAGTGCTTGTTGCCCACCAAGGGGATTAAACAACTAGTTAACAACACAAATTAGGCAACTAGAACCAACATCAGGAGGGTGGTCACTTTTGCCATCCTGCTGGGCTTAAAATGAGCCATCTCATGGGCAGGAAGGGAGACCTCATTACAAGCTAGGAGGTGCATTAGTCCCTTACACCTGGGATCTCTGTCCTGAGAACTTCCTAGACCTAGGAGACACAGAGAGAGAGAGAGAGAAAGAGAGAGGTTGAAAAATAGTTGTAACAACAGAGAGAGAGAAAGTGACAGTGATCACACTGATAAGAGAAATAGTGACAGCAGAAGTTGCTGAAGCTGAAGCCTCACAAGACTATGTGTGGGGCTTCTCCACTCACGGAGTAACAAAGCTGAGCATTTTTGGAGAGAAGCCTTTCTGCCAGAGAGGGGGAGTGGAATGCCTCTGCGCATTTATCATGGTGCAGCTAAAGAGCTTTGCACCTGCCTGAGGAAGACAGAGGCTGGGGAAAGGGGGGTCAAGGGAGAAAGAGAGAGAGGTCAAGGATGAGAGAGAAGGAGAGGAGAGGAGAGGAGAGGGGAGGGGAGGGGAGGGGAGGGGAGGGGAGAGAAGGGCTGAAAAGGCTGTACTGATATACTAAAAAACCCAAAACAAGTATATCCTGCTTCATTCCTGATCCTCAGTTGTAACCTGAAGGTTTCTAATAAACCCCATAGTTGTCAGAGTTCTATGTGATTATTACAATGAATTCTGGAGCCTTAGGAGAGGAGTAGGGCGTGCTGAGGAAAGAATGGTTGGTGTCAGAACTGGTAAAAAGGTTTCAAGGAGGAGGAATGCCCAACCTCATCCTCATAGGAATCAGTCTTAGGCTGTTGATGTTGATTCTCCTTTCTTTTCTTATTGTCAAAGGAGTTCAGACACCCTCAACACACCTTTCCTTCAGGTTCGAACTACCAACCCTTCAGCTAGTAGTTGGGGGTTTAACTACATACTCAAAGACCTTACAACTCTATGAATTGTTTATAAGTCCTTCTGTCAGATAAGGAAAGAGGGCCCAGAGCAGTGACTTGCTTAAAGTTGTACAACTGTTAAGGACCCAGGATTTGAACTCATACTACATTCAGTGTGATATGATCAACTGCTCAGAAAGTTAGCTGCATTCAAGCATTCAATGCCAGAGTGTTGGGGAAGTTAAAGACATTAATCTCAATTGTCATACATTTATTTCTCTCACAAAAGCTTACTGAGGACTATCTATGTGTATATCCTGTATCACACTTCCTTATCAATATTGAAGAAGGCTACCTACCCATTCATTCCAAAAGTCTTGACCTCACAAGTATTTCAATGGAGTAACATATTTTGTCAACATTAGTCTAGAATGAATAAAAATACTACAACTATACTAAAACTTCTGGAATTTCACACACTTAGTAGATGGATCATGAAGTCAGAGCAGACTCACAGCTGATCCTCCAGCAGCTTTCTAGACCAGCTGGTGGATTTGAACCGTATACCTTTGAGGAGACAGCACTGTTCTTTACCACTAGGCCACCAGAGCTCCCCAGAGAAAGGGTCGATGAGGGAATGATGAGCAATGCCTGTCAATATCCTAGGTGCTTCATTATTGGATCTTAATAAAGATTTTCTAATTTGTTGAATGAAAAAATATTTAGGAGAAAGGTTTTTATTTCCATCTATTCTAAATAAATAACTGTAAGCAAGCCATTATGATGCCAGTTCGCTCATCTAGAAAATATGGATGATAACAGTGCCTACCTCATCAGACTGGTGGGAACAGAATGAGGTAATGCATATAAACCAACCTAGCACCTTGCCCATATATGGGAAACAGTCTATTTTAAAATACTTTTTGAAGACATTGTTGTTGTTGTTATGTCTCCTGAATTGAAGAAGTAATATATGTGAAAAAAAAAAATTCAATGGGAACCCAAAGCTGTACAATGGGCAAGAATTCTCCTTTGACCAAGCTTTCTGTGACTGCATTATTATCATATCCCCAAGCAATGCTAACATGTTACAATCAGTGGAGAAGAGGGAAGGCTTACAAACCTGTAGATAACATCATTTGATTCAGAACCAAGTGAAATAACACAACTCTTCTGGCTAGATTCCAGTGTGAGTGATTAACATTCTCCAACTTCAAATAATTTTTATTATTAGCCAACATTTGTCCATCCCCAATAATACCCACGTTGCACAAAGGGCACCGAATGAGACAGTCGTCTCTTGGCATGTCCACAGCGTGCACATACTTTCCACTGGAGGTTTCTCTTTCTTTTTGACTGCTCTAACAAAGCTCTCAACTCCCCCTGCTTTCATCCCTGGCATGGCTGCCAAGGGTTCCAGTACAAACACCTGTAGAACGTCAGTGACGGAAAGATGTCATGTACATCTGTAACATTTTTATTAATAGTTTTGATGTCTGTAAAGCAACTGGTATTTATTTCTTTTAACTTCAAGTTTAGGATTAACGCACATATTCATCATTTTCCACAGGGTTGGAGCGAGGAAACCTATTACGTACGTTAGTCTCAAGTGGGATCCAGGACGTTTAGCACTTAGCTCCAGGTCTTCCAATCTCCCCAGGGTCTCATGCTCATTTTTGCCTTCAGCCCAATGGAAAGGGGCGGGGGGGGGGAAGACAGGAAACAATTCAAACCGCCTTTGTATGCATGTGAATGAATTTCAAGTATGCCAAACACCTCCGTTTCCCAACCTAATTAGAACATGTAGAAAATAAGTGTTTAGTACATCTTTAAAATCTTTTATTTTGTTTTATCATTCTTGTGTGTGTACCGTCAAATCAGATCTGACTGGTACAGGAGGAGAGTGTCCCTCCTTCTCCAGCAGAGAATCTGGTGGATTCAAACCATGTACCTCTGAAATTGCAGTGCAGCTTCTTGCCACTAGGCCACCAGAGCTTGCCCTTTTTTTTTTTTTTAGATGTTTAGTACACCTTAAGGGTCGAGTGCTAGGGTTCATCTAACAGAGCCTCCTTCTGTCCTTGCAGTCGGTGCGCCAGGCAACTCTTCCACATGCCTAGCTGCCCCATGCGCACCTTGGGCCTGCATCCCTGCAATATCACTTCTTTGAGGACAACTTGAAAACTGTTAAGGTTTTCAACCTCACCATGTAAAAGCGACTCTTTCAAAGCCAAAAAGAAAAATCACTGCAAGAGTTTGTTAGGAAATGAAAAAAAAAAAAATTACTGAGATTGTGGTTTGAATAGCGGGTTTGCAACTGAGGCTGATACTCTAAGACAGCTGTGAACAAGACAGGCAAGGTAGTGGCTGACTTGGGGACAATGCTTGCTCGTTCGCCTACATAAGTTTTTAAGCCTCAGCTTCACCTGTAACAAGTACCTGTCTCATAGGACTGCGTAAGGATGAGAGCTTCTCCATTGAGATGGAAACTATTATCTCGCCGGCTGGCACACCTGTGCTCTTTCTTCTCGGGACGTGAGATGCTCTGATACAAGGACGGAGAGGAGACAGGTGCCATGGCTAAGGAAGATGCTTTGGAGAGTTCCTATAAGTCAACGCCGCTTTCTGTACGGTGGTGGTGGTGGTGGTGGTAATCTGCTAGAAGCCAGAACTCCGAAAGCGAGGAACACAGCCGCAGAGGACTGTAGGGGGAATTCTGGCGCGGCTTTCCCGCCCGGGTTGCCCCGGCGGCCAAATTAGCATTCGCCCCGCCTCCAGCCTGCGATTGGCGGCCACTCCTCGACTGCGCTCTCCGGATGGGGCCGCGGGGCGTCGGGGGCGGGGCCTGAGCCTCAGGGCGTCGGGGTGGAGCCGGGGCCGTGGGGCAGGGGCGGGGGCGCGCGGAGAGTGTGGCGGGGCGGCCACCAACCGCGCCCCGGCGCGAGGGGGCGGGGGCAGGGCGGGGCCTCCCGGATGGGCATTAGAAGCAGGTGACCCGGGCGGGGTCGGAGAGGCCAGTCGGCCCGCGGCCGTGACTCCTCTGCCGCCTCGGTCGCCTAGTGCTGAGCGGTGCCCGCCGGAGGTGGGCGCAAGGGTGTTGGGGCTTGGGGGAGGAGCCGAGGCGCTCGCGTCCCGGAGCGCCGCCGCCACCCCCCTCTCCGGAGTCGGCGGGAGCGCAGAGCCCCCTGCAGGGGAGCGGGCGAGCGGGCGCGCACCATGCAGTCCCGGCGGGGCTAGCGCCGGCTGCTCACGGTGCTGTGAGGCGGCGGGATCCCCCGGCCGCTGCACGCCGCCATCCACCCGCCCAGGTGCTGCTCGGCGCGCTCGCTTGGCGTCCGGGACCCGGAGGAACGCACGCCCTGCCCTGCCCTTCCCCGCCTGGATCATGCGGGGCGCCCCGGAGGAGGAGAGGGCGAGTGACTGGCCTGCGCCGACTGCGTTCCGGGGGCGCCCCCCGCTCTGAGACGCCCCCACCTGCTGCCATGTGCCGCCACGGAGACCCAGCCTCTTGCCAAACTTTGTCGGCGCCGGCTCGGCTCTGAGTCGCGTTTCCCAGCCGAGTGCCCCGCAGACGGAGGACCCAGGGCTGACTTCGCGCTCCTGTCGCCCGGACTCGGGAGGTGAGAGCCCGCTCTCCCTTTCTTCTCAGGGTCCCTTTGCCCTTTCCTGGGGGCTGAGCACTTTGACCCCGGGATTCTGCCTGGAGTGCCCAGCCTGGAGAGGGGGGAAGGTGGTTCAGAACTGCAGAGGGAAGACAGCAAAGTTATCGCGGACATTTGGAGACCGCTTGGGGGGACCGAACTGTTTACTGCAGCAGTTGATAATTGCAGTTCCCCCCACCCACCCGTTTTCTTTTAAGGAGTTCTTCCTTTGGAGCCTGAACCCTCATCTTCCCTCCCCAGCCCGATCGCGAGGAGCTGAGCTCTGCCGGTAGAGGCAGTGCCTTTCCAAAAACAATTGCTCTTTGGGCAGATTTCTTGAAAAGAGCCCAACAGGTTGGCGGCCCCGGCGCCGCCCGGCAGTCGAGCGGGAAGCCGCAGCTCGCCTCTCCGGCCTGCGTGGCCCCGGCTGCGGGAGGGACGGGGCGATGGCTCGGCCTGACCCGTGCGCGCCGCCCCCACTGCTGCTGCTGCTCCTGGCGCAGCTGGCGGGCCGGGCGGCGGCCGCCTCCAAGGCCCCGGTGTGCCAGGAGATCACGGTGCCCATGTGCCGGGGCATCGGCTACAACATGACGCACATGCCCAACCAGTTCAACCACGACACACAGGACGAGGCGGGCCTGGAGGTGCACCAGTTCTGGCCGCTTGTGGAGATCCACTGCTCGCCGGACCTTCGCTTCTTCCTGTGCTCCATGTACACGCCCATCTGCCTGCCAGACTACCACAAGCCTCTGCCGCCCTGCCGCTCGGTGTGCGAGCGCGCCAAGGCTGGATGTTCGCCCCTCATGCGCCAGTACGGCTTCGCCTGGCCCGAGCGCATGAGCTGCGACCGCCTCCCGGTGCTGGGCCGCGATGCCGAGGTCCTGTGCATGGATTACAACCACAGCGAGGCCACCACGGCGCCCCCCAGAGCCTTCCCAGCCAAGCCCACCCTCCCGGGTCCAGCCGGGGCGCCGGCCGACGGGGGCGAGTGCGTCCAAGGGGGCCCGTCGGTGTGCCAGAAATGCCAGTGCCGGGAGCCCTTCGTGCGCATCCTGAAGGAGCACCCGCTGTACGACAAGGTGCGCACAGGCCAAGTGTCCAACTGCGCGGTGCCCTGCTACCAGCCTTCCTTCAGCCCTGACGAGCGCACGTTCGCCACCTTCTGGATCGGCCTGTGGTCAGTGCTGTGCTTTATCTCCACCTCCACCACCGTGGCCACCTTCCTCATCGACATGGAGCGCTTCCGCTACCCCGAGCGCCCCATCATCTTCCTGTCCGCCTGCTACCTGTGTGTGTCGCTGGGCTTCTTGGTGCGCCTGGTCATGGGCCATGCCAGCGTGGCCTGCAGCCGCGAGCACAGCCACATTCACTACGAGACGACGGGCCCAGCGCTCTGCACCGTCGTCTTCCTGCTCGTCTACTTCTTCGGCATGGCCAGCTCCATCTGGTGGGTCATCCTGTCGCTCACCTGGTTCCTGGCGGCCGGCATGAAGTGGGGCAATGAGGCCATCGCAGGCTACGCGCAGTACTTCCACCTGGCCGCGTGGCTCATCCCCAGCGTCAAGTCCATCACGGCCCTGGCGCTGAGCTCGGTGGACGGGGACCCGGTGGCCGGCATCTGCTACGTGGGCAACCAGAACCTGAACTCGCTGCGCGGCTTCGTGCTGGGGCCGCTGGTGCTCTACCTGCTGGTGGGCACGCTCTTCCTGCTGGCGGGCTTCGTGTCGCTCTTCCGCATCCGAAGCGTCATCAAGCAGGGTGGCACCAAGACGGACAAACTGGAGAAGCTCATGATCCGCATCGGCATCTTCACGCTGCTCTACACCGTACCGGCTAGCATCGTGGTGGCCTGTTACCTGTACGAACAGCACTACCGCGAGAGCTGGGAGGCAGCCCTCACCTGCCCGGGCCCCGACGCCGGCCAGCAGCGCGCCAAGCCCGAGTACTGGGTGCTCATGCTCAAGTACTTCATGTGCCTGGTGGTGGGCATTACGTCAGGCGTGTGGATCTGGTCCGGAAAGACCGTGGAGTCGTGGCGGCGCTTCACCAGCCGCTGCTGCTGCCGCCCGCGGCGGGGCCACAAGAGCGGAGGCGCCACGGCCGCGGGCGACTACGCCGAGGCGAGCGCTGCGCTCACCAGCAGGACCGCGCCGCTGGGCCCCGCCGCCTACCACAAGCAGGTGTCCCTGTCCCACGTGTAGGAGTCCTGGGAGCGGGGATCGGAGGGGGATGGTTCCGTTGGGTAGCTCTGCCAAGGTCACTTCCGTTTACGTTATTGGTGCTGATGCTGCCTCTTGGGGCCACTGAGGGAGGGGTGGAAACGGGGGCCAGTGTCCAGAGAGGACCTGTGCCAGGTCTTCGAGAAGGGGCTCAGCTCGCCTGTGTTCTGTTTTTTTCCCACCTTCCATTGGGGAACCTTGTTCTTTTCTACGTGTTTTGCTTCATTTTTAACTTTGTTGCGGTTTTGGCAACAACATTTACCTGTTGGGGGGGCGGCTGTCCAGTCCATTGGTTGGATGACATATAATGACGTTCCACTTGGTTCGGGTTCCTGTGACCTGACACGGGAACACAGGTTTCCTCTGTGTCTAGAGGAGAATGTGAACAGGGAAGGTGTGGGTTGCTCTGACTTGGAAAGCTGTTGTTGGCTGTGCTCCGCCAGCTCTGAAGCTCAAAGTGCCCCCCGACGCTTCGAGAGGAGACGCCTGGCTGATTAGGGTTTGGAAAGTAGAAGCCAGAAGTCATAACGAAGAGGGGATTGGGATGTTTTAAGGCACAAGGTTAGGGAGTCCTTCGCGATTGCGGGTTCCTCCTTAGCTTTGTTTAGCAAGCTACAATTTCTTTTCTCTTGTAATCATTCTCATTTTTAACAGAGCCGGCGGGGTGTTTTGAATAAGGCTGAGGTAGCATTCTAGGGGGCCCGGTCTAAATGTTTGGAACCGTGGAAAACCTAAGAGGTTTTTGAGAAGGAATTTTAGCCTGGGAGGCGGGGGGTGTGGGGAATGGCTGGCTGGGGCTAGAAAGGGAAAGGGTGGTTCTTAATAAAATGAAGTGGGGTTTGTTATGTTTGGGGGGTTTGGGTTTTTTTTAAAGGAACTTGTGTTAGACTTCTGGTAAAAGTAAACCTACTTCTGGAAGTACTTTAGTTGCTTAAAGAGCTTCTTTTTAGATCTAAGGACTGAAATGGCTCTAACTCCAGTAATGGAAGTCAATTTCCAACCCTTGTCTTATCTGCTCCACCCCCACCCCACCTCCTTTATCATGTTAAGCAGTCTTTGGGCTTTTCTTACTCCTGCCCTCCTGCCGAGCCGTGATTAGAGACCACGCCCACCTTGGAAGGAGGGGTCCCGCAGGCAGTCGGACTCCTACCTGTGAGCAAACTTTGGCAGCCTTGTAGGGAAAATAAATGTCCCTGGACTTTGGACAGGTTTATAGCCAGATATTTCAAAAGCATTGCTCTCCGCAATCTGGAGACAAATGAGGCACATAACACTTGCATTTAAAAAAAAAAAATCCCTCCCTCCCCTTGTGGATCAGTGCAATACTACAGCTCCCGAGAAAAGCACACAGCACCCAGTTCCTCTGCCACCGCAGGACAGTTTTCTTTCCCTGCCTGCTTCCTGCGCACGCGCACACGCTTCTTTGCGCTCAGAATTGTTAGCTCTCGTAATCTGTTAAATCATTCAGGCATTCATGTATGGAAGCTTCTATATTGATGCGCACAGCTTTCTTTGCTGTTGGAAAGTTCTATCTTCCCAGAGTGTTTTAGCCATTGATGAGGGACTGAAGGGTGGAGGGAGGAGCATTCCTGGGTGTGACATACGTGGGCCTATAGAATTCCAGTGTCATTTCAGGGTAAGTAATGATTAGGAGCCTAAAGCAATTCACATTTGAGAAAGCCTTTCTAGGAAGGCCACTAGAGTCTAGGACTTCGTTTATTTAAGTCCAAATCCAGTTTTGCTCTAAGGCTGTAAAGTCGATAAAGGCACAGCTCCGAATGGTAATGGAAACATTTTTCTGATGGGGAGAAGGCTAGTAGCGTCCTTTGTAAGGACTCTTCAAGCTGTTAAAAATGTATGAAATTCATTGCTTTTATCTGCACATGACCTCTGATTCAAAATTTATATTTCAGCCATTTGACAAAAGCTTAGTACGCAGAACTACAAACTTTTCTTAGATCTTACTCTCTTCTGGAACTTCTTCCTAGACCTCCTCTAATTACCTTAAGCTTCTCCCTCAAGAAGGCAGTTAAAGAATTCTAAGCTGTCACCTTCTGGGGCCTAATTCTAACTGCCTGAGAACAGGTCCTTGCCCCAGACCAGCTGTGAGCGGTGCCTGCTTTTCATTTCTCTTCTCACCCTGGCTCTTTATCTCCCTCTCCTTATCCCCTAAAAGAGACAAAGCTAAGCCCACCTGCTTCCCTAAAGTCTTTCAAATGCCAACTCCCCTACCTCCCATGCATTGTTTCCACTGGATTTGCATGCTTAGTGAAGAAAACAGTTCAGACCCATGAAATCTATTAGCAACCATTTCTCAGCTGTTTCTGTAAAGTGGGAGAAGTCTTAGGGCCCATCTGAGCACCCACTGAGGGATGTGGATGCCCCAGTTCAGTTCTGCGCACCACCTCCTTCTCCTCCTCCATAGATGAGGTTGGAGGATTTGGATGGAAGGTTGTCCAAAGGGAGTAATCAGCTGGCCAGACTTTTTGAAGCCCTTTTAATTTACATTACTTCTCTCTACATTTTGAAATATCGAAATTGGCTCAAAGTCCTTTTTCATGGTGCCTTATTGGTTGGTTTTTCATGTGACCATTTCCAGTCACCAGGGTATATGCGCGCGCGTGCGTGTGTGTGTGTGTGTGTATGTGTGATGCTGATTGTACAAGCTTAAATAATGTGCCAGAGCACCGTACAAAGTTGGAATTGATTCAGCCATTTCCTCCTAGCCCAGGGCTGCAGTCATCCTGACAGGGGCTTCCAGGAGCAAACCTCACCGATCACGCTGAACTTTAATAACAGCATCTGTGACCTGAACTCCTAAGTAGAGAAGGGAAACCCTATAGCTAGGAAATGTAGTTGTCTATTTTCATGAACTGCTACCCCTGCTAGAGAGGCTTCTTTCTACAGAAAGACCAAGGACGGTAAGGAGGCCAAAGCTTTGAGGAGACGCTTTCTAACACAGAGAACATCACGGCTAGTCAGGTGGCGCAGAGAGTGGCGAGGAATCCTCTGCTCCATCAGCCTTCCCCTGCCTTGTTGCCACACTCAAGTCATGTGACCCTGGGAAGGAAGTCTGTCTGGCTCAGGGAGGAGAGTTCTGGAAACAATGGCTGGCTAAGGCAGAATGGAAGTAAATAAGTAATCTGAAAAAAAAATCTCAAAAAAGCTTCTAGCAGTTTGATGACAATTAAGAAATTTTACCCAGGAATAATATATGTGGTACATTATTTTAAGACAATATTAACTTCATGTTGTTACAAACTATATGTATAGTATGTATGTTTTGTGGGTGTGTATATACATAATATATATTCTATAAATATATATATATAAATATAAATGAGAGATCTAGTGACTTTTGATACGGGTTTGGTGCGGGTGAATTTATTACTGAGCCAGAAGGGGCACATACCGAGTCAATTGTTGGAATCCAGGGCATTTAATACATTTTACGATTCCAAATTTCATACAGTCCCTCATGTCACATTGAGAGTTCACAAAGCCAAGTTGGTGATACTGTGTTTGTAGACAATCAATTGGAACCCAAAAATTCTTATTGGCAGGTGCTTACCGTCCTGAATCTATCCATGGCATTAACAGAAGAAAACTCAGAGCAGCTTGCTAAGAGGTTTTTGGTTCTGTTTTCCTCCTGGAAGTCAGTAGAACAGCAGTTGTACGTGGTTATGTCCGTCTCAAGATACTTTATTTGCTGGACCTTATTACTTTGGAAACATTTTTGTATGTATTATATTTGTGGAAAGGTAAAATAATTAATGGTTTGAGATTTTTATCAAATATGGAGATTAGCTATTTATGAAAAAAAACAAAGAAATGTCTATTTTTGTTTCTTTGTTCTCAATTCATGTAGATAAAATTTTAAAATGCATTAAAACAATGGTAAAAGAAAATGCTGTAGACATCTTTTTCTTCTCATGGTTGGGTGGAGAAACAGGGCACTCTTAAGAGGGTCTGAGGAGACACGGGGTTCCAATTCTAATCTGCTTTCCAAGATGTACTTAAAATACAACAGCAGACACTCGTTGGCATCAAACTGGAACTGACCCATTGCTGGTCCTCCAACAGGTTTTCAGCAAATCGCTGAAATCACAGGGTAGGAGATGGCCTGTCTTCTGCAACTGGTGAGGCCAACTGCTTGCCTTTGGGTTGGCAGCGCAACTCCTTACCCTCTAGGCCACCAGAACTTGTGCTTAAGACTATTGTTATGTATTGTCGAGTCAGAACTGAATCATAACTGGCCCTCCAGTGGGTTTACCAGGGCCCATACATCATGTGGGAGGAGATTGTCCATTTCTCCCCCCCTGTGGGTTCAAACCCTGTGCCTTTGAGTTGGTAGCACAAATCCTTACCACTGCACCACTGGAGCTCCCTGTGTGCTTCTTCGAGGGGTGGAGGAGGTACTTAAAATAGAAGTGACGGCAATGTTCTTAATAAGACGCATAAAGCAAATTGCAATCACCATAAGCAGAGCTAATTAAAATGTGCTTTGCTCAAATACTCTATAGGTTTCTCCTCTTCCTGTGATTGTTCCATGATTTGCTTTAATGAAGGAAAAAAGTTCACAGAGGAACATCCTTGATAGTGTGTTCTCATTTTTAACTCTTTTGTCTTTAATACATCTATCTGTTCCTGTTTGAATAGGAATGATGTTGAATAGAGATGGTGTTACATGCCTGATGTGGAGGGGGGTGGGGCAGGTACTCCCCAAGCTGTTTCACAGCAATTTGATTTACAACTTCATATCAATCTTTCAATATAAGTGAAGAAGCCCAGATAAAAGTTTCCATTTCCCTGTGGGATAATCTGGACAAATGCTTAGGAATACTGAGAGATTATGGTCAATGTAAGAAGACTTCAGTTCCACTCTGAAGACCATCTTAAGTCAATTATGATGCAAGTTGAACACCTCATCTCCCGCCCCACCCCCCAGTTTTTATTATTAGCATCTTTCCTTTTCTGTATCTTCATGAATCTTAAGGGAGCTCTGGTAATGTCATCCATACGGAGTGGCCCTGCTAACCCAAAGCCATGGAACCTCTGTAAATTCAAATTCCCGTGTGTCTCCAAGGAGAAAAGAGGAGCGATCTCCTCTCCTGCAATTTACTGCTTTGGAAACCCAGTGCATGGTCAGCTAGAACTTGACAGAGCTTATGAATCCTAATAGTGACCCAGTGGA